AAAAAAAGTTTTAAAATAAAAAATAACCTAAATCTTTAGCTTTCCAAAACTCTGATTACCGGACTATAGGTTGGGAAGAATAGTTATTTTCAATATTCCGATAAAATAAAATAAAACAGGAATTTAATTTAAGTTATGAATATATTTAAAAAACTTTTAAAGTCATATTATTTGAACATTCCCCTGACATAATGAAATAGTATTTGATTTAAAAGCTGGACCAAAATATTGGCTGTGAAATAAAATTAGTTGTAACTCAAATGTATTTATTGATTTAAACTGTATATAAAAAAAAAGGATAATTCCCCACTAAAATATTACATGATTTACATTCATACTCACAATCAGGAAACCTATACAATTCCTACCTTTTCTTTGTACTGTTATGTAACCTAATGTCTATAAGGCATTTTTTTTTTAAAATATTTCCCAAATTATAAGAAGTCCTGACATCACTAAAACTAATCCATACATGAAATGCCTAAAAAGGAAATCATGCATTAATAATAAACATTGTACTGACAATGAAACTAATTTTTGAATACAATCAATCATGAGGATCACTTGGGCCTTGAGCACTTTACAATATTCTAAGTTTGTAGGAGAATGATAATCCCTTACTTCATGATACATTCTCTTACATATACTTAACCCCAGTTCTTGATACAATTTTGTGTTATTCAATCAATGTAAATAATCAGGGCCCGTATGCATAAAACATCTTAACTTCAGTGTTCCTAAAACTTAGATTTCACTAAGAATTCACTAAGTCGTATGCATAAACTTACTTAAGTCTTCACTTAACTAAGGAATACTTAAATCGGAACCTTTCTTTAATTACCGTAATACTATGATATATATCAGCTCATCGCAGGAACTCAGTCGTGTACAAGTTTGTTATGAATATTTACATTGGTTGATCAATACATACTTTTATTAAGAGTTGGAGTTAAATTGATGTTGGTATTTAAAACAATTCAATAATACGTAACATAGTACAATGTTGAAACAGATGAAAAATTGGCGCAGACGAGAAACGGTTGGCGTTTCGATGGATGAGCATTGGAAAGAAAACAAATATTTGTAATCCAAAACTTCCCCCTACTTAATTTTTAATTTATTATGAATGGATGTTATATTTTCTGGAGACAACAATATATTTTAAACGTTAACAAAACATGATTAAGGTTTCAATGGCGTAGCACCAGTGCAGCATTGTAAGCATGTGCTTACAAACAATTTTATAAAACATTTTTTTTTCAATAAGAATTTTACTATAAACAAAAGATGTATTAGTATTTTATTACTGATATAAGTATTAAGCAATTGAATTGTAGCAAATATATTCATGTTCTGCCAAAAAAGCATACTTTCGACTGATTTTTAACTATTTTTGAAAATTTAAGGTAGCTCTATAGGTACCTTAGACTAAAGTGAAATCTTAGGCGTTTTCTAAGTTTAAGTCGTTTTATGCATACCACTTAAGCTTTGTGGGCGTGACTTAAACAACTAAGATTTTACTAAGGAAATACTTAGTTAAAGATTTTTTATGCATACCACTTAGGTAAAAAGGGCAGAGTTTCCTTAACTTAAGTGTTTACTAAGGAAAATCTTAACTTAAGTAGCTTTATGCATACGGGCCTAGGTCTTTAGAAATGAAATTTCAAAAGGACTTTTTTTCCTAGAAAAAAAGGAGAATACGGGTATATTTAACTAGGAAAATAGATTTTTACATTCATAAAATGTATTAGATTTTTATAATAACACAAATCCTAGGATAAATTTTCCTAGGACAATAAGTGCCACACATATTTTAACAACTAGGAACATTTATCCTGGGACTTACATTCCCAGTAAAATCATGGTCATGGAGTTGTTTTATAAAAAGACCATATTTATTAACTACACGTGCATATAGGTCTACGTTGTAGCTAGTCTTTTTACAGACTCAAATTGTTTTATAAAAAGACCATAAACCCACTTATGCAATGTTTCGGGTTCTTTCGGGAGTATTCCCAGGTAAACCCTCATCAGAGGCCGACCTTTAGCTATTTATTTCGTATCTAGTATCATAGATAGATGTGTGTCTGTTTCATAACAGTTTTTTTTTTATTTAATTTATTAACTACACGTGCATATAGGTCTACGTTGTAGCTAGTCTTTTTACAGACTCAAATTGTTTTATAAAAAGACCATAAACCCACTTATTCATGGTATGGTATCACTATTTCTGACCTGACACTACGTACTTTTTATTGCTTAATTCTTTAGAATTTAATATGCAATGTTTCGGGTTCTTTCGGGAGTATTCCCAGATAAACCCTCATCAGAGGCCGACCTTTAGCTATTTATTTCGTATCTAGTATCATGGATAGATGTGTGTCTGTTTCATAACAGTTTTTTTTTTAATTTAATTTATTAACTACACGTGCATATAGGTCTACGTTGTAGCTAGTCTTTTTACAGACTAAAGAAACTGACCAAGTAGATCAGCACCTTTGGTTAATTATTCATATATATATTGAAAAGACTTATTGTCTTTATTCTCGTAATCTAATCTATCATAAATCTACACGAGATCTAATAGAGATAGTAGTTATCAGTGCTATACTGTTGAATTCACACTAGACTGTCGTGTATGTTTTAACACCTATTTGATAATATACAAATGTCTCCATGTTTAACAATTGAAGAGGTTTGTGTAGATACCATGTCGGTTCTATGCATGAATATAACAGGAACCATTCAGTTTTCCCTTGTACGTGATCTCTTGAAATAAATCGGCATCACGTCTTTTTACATCTGTTTCACAGTATAATGATTGTATACTAAAGCCTCCCGTGGTGGGGTATTGTGAATCAATGTCTTCGGTTTAATGATTAATTATCATGTTGCCAATATTCTTATTGTTTTTTAAACCAATATCAGGTTTGGATTTAGATAGTTTTTTTATTTATTATTTTGGCAATCGGATCTTTCCGAATTATATACCAAATTTTGTTATTACCGTGTTATGATATTCAAGATATTTCTGCCACTTGTTTTCTAATATTTGGTTTCTTTCGAAGTTGCTGTCTGCATCTATGCTAACTTAGCCTAACTGTTTTGTTAGGGAGAAATCTGCAAGACATTTACACTTTAGACCGTATATAAACGATTATCTTATAAGTACATGTTGCTATTGTTTCTAAGAATTCTCGTACCTTCAGAAGGAATGAAAACAATGTACTATTTCAAATAATTGTTCACTTTGTTCACCTTCTTCATTAAATATATTAAATCCATCAATTCTCATTCTTTAGTGGAATTTAATATTATTTTCGTAGGATATTTCTCTGTTTTATGTCTATAATTATGGTTAAATATAGCAATATCAGATATTTCCAGGGAGGCAACTCTGCCCATTGAAACGCCAACGATCTGTTGCTAGTACAACAGTATAACTTTCGTTGTTCATTGACAATCATATTTATTTGTTATTAGTTTCCATGTAACCTTCAACGGCTTGACATAATAATTATTATCGATATTAGTTGCTTTATCCTGGGACTTACATTCCCAGTAAAATCATGGTCATGGACTTGATTACCAAAGGCAAAAAATGCCGCCGTCAATTTTTACTACCGGACCGAATTTACTGTTACAATAATACGCCTTACCGCAGTGTGGTGTGTCTATACATATATAAATATTGTATATTTGAAATTTTGCATATTAGAGAGAAGACTTTACCTAAATAAATTATTGTATCTGAAAGAAAATTTAGTAATCCCTTCAAACAGAATTGTCCTTCTCGCCATTTTGGGATAATTGCTCAAATTTGTCTAAAATCTAGCAAGAATTAACGTAATATGCAGTTTTGAGTCATCTTTAAGCAGTGATAACTTTCCAGTATAATATTCAAAAGTGCGCTAGCACGTTGATAATACCTTACCGTAAACATATGAATCTTATAATGTGTGTTTTAGTAAAGATTGTTTGACTGTTGAAAAATGCCCTTGTTTTTATAGGAATTTATAGAAAATTAATCTTACTTCTTTTTTACTATAATTGTAAAAGGGAAGTGATAAAAAAGTTTATTTCAAATCGAAATAGATTTTTCAAACCCAAATAGAAATTGTAAGTAAGGGGGTCTGGAAGGCGGGACGGCAGTGCACCAGAAGCTGAACGATAGTAGTAAAATTCTTATTGAAAAAAAAATGATTTTTTAAATTATTTGTAAGCACATGCTTACAGTGCTACACTGGTACTACGCCATTAAAACCTTTACCATGTATTGTAAGAGTTAAAACTGTATTGTTGTCTCCAGAAAAGAATCAGGCCCCTCCATTCAGCAACACACCCTTGAATTTGAAAGATGAATTAAAGATTAAGTAGGGGGAAGTTTTTGATTACAATTTTTTTCTTCCCGTGCTCATCTATCAAAACGTCAACCTTTTCTCTTATGCGCCAATTTGTCATCTGTTTCTACATTTTAGTTGATTACGTATTTTTAAATTGTTTACATCAATTTAACCCCAGCTCTTAATAAAAGTATGTATTGTTCAATCAATGTAAATAATCAAATCAAACTTTTACACGGATGAGTACATGCAATGAGCTAATATATATCATAAGATAAATAGAGAAAGGTTCCGATTTAAGTATTCCTTAGTTAAGTGAAGACTTAAGTAATTTATGCATACGACTTAAGAATTTTACTTAACTAAGGGAATTCTTAGTGAAATCTAAGTTTAAGGAACACTTAAGTTAAGATGTTTTTTTTGCATACGGGCCCAGGTCTTTAAGCTTACATTATGTAATCTTCCTTTCAGCGTGTAATTGTATTTCTGTCAAAAATGTTTACTGTTGTCATCAGTATTAGAATGTATATAGTGCAAGATTGTTCATATGGTATTATACCCCACGGAGATTTGATATGTTTAATGCGAAATTTTATTTATTTTAATACAAATATATGAAAAACTTCTATTTAACCATTCCTTTTTCGATCATTTTAGGTTAACTAGTAATTATAAAAGCGTGTGATGGACACATATGGGACTATCCAAGGTAAAGAAATTTTATTTTATTGATTAGATAGTTTGTTTTAAGGATGTAGTCAGGTGAGCTTTAGGAATATTCGTCAGATGTTCGGACTCCTTGGATTTTTTCCTACGATACAGGGTAAAATATTTTGCCCCATAACACCCACTTTTCTTTTCATAGACTTCATAGCTCATAACAGGTCATTTATCAAAATTTAGTCAGATTTTAAATAGTCTTTTCTTACGATTTGAGACCCAAATAATGCCAATGTAAATATAAGGTAAAAGTCCGTGTCAGCCTTTTCCTGCCATTTTTTAAAATCAAATAACTCTAAAAGGAGTTCCATACCCTCTCAATATTTTTAGCTTATTTTGTCCCTTTAATAATGCTCTTCTAATATAAAGTTAAAATTTTAAATTCCAGATTTTTTTATATTCACCTGACTACATCCTTATGTTTGATGTAAGACGCCACGGACTGAGTTCAAAAACTTCGTTGAACGGTTATTTTGAAAAAAAATATGACCTTGGAAAATTGTATATAAATTGCAGTTTTCCCAACTTTTGTTTTGTACATGGAAATAGAACGGATTAAGTTGTGTTCGGTTTGATTGGTTTTTGTCTCTTGGTAAAAAATGGCTTAAAATCTGTTTCCAGCACTTTAATATTATATACTGCTATATCAAACGTTACAGATCAAGTTTGAGTTTTGCTATGGTTGCGTTTTTGGGTATTTTTACTGACCAATGGAAATGATAAATTGCGTGAAAATCTCAGGATTCAGCACATTTTCTGTTATTCCTAAATAAATCAATTCCTGTAATAGATATAAAGTTCTACAACAAGAAATTTCTATTTTTGTTCCATTTAAAGGATTTTGCGTTAATTGTAGCCTTTGAACGTGTAAAGTACTTTGCAATACCAGTTTCTAAACTGCTGCAATGTCATATAAAAACCCACCAAAGATACCTGGCTTCTGATTGTGTACGCTAGACGCGCGTTTCGTCTTCAAAAGACTCATATAAGTGACGCTCGAGTAAAAAAGGTTAATTAAAAGCACAAACAAAGTAAAACTTGCTTCATAGATGTGGCTAGCTCAGTACATTGAAGTAATTGTTAGCAATATCCGCATCTTTAAAGGAACATTCTGACCCAATTTATGTTACGATGGAGATTCACTGCTACATCAGTAACAACTATTCAAATGCTTCACATATCAGTGTTAAATCATCAAATGTAAACAGTACTGCTAGTATATGAGACATTGTATTGTACACGTTCTTTCTTATCTTCATCTTTTTTTTAATGTTAATAAATTAAAACCGCTACTGCAACTATTACAAAAAAAAACAACATTACAATACAAGTAAATGCTACCTGATTTGACAAATTTAGTTCATTTTACCATTTTTTATTGTCAGTTTAAATATCAAAGAACAAATTTTGAACACCCTTTTTCGTGTTAAATAGACACGTAGTAAATTATTTGCTTTTATAATTGTCCATATAATTATCCAATCTCAATATCTGAATAACAAATATAACTTCTCAAATAAGGGAAAAAACTATGATTAATTCTATCAAGTAAATGTATTTTAATTGCCTTTTTATATCAAGTAATCTTCAAGGTGGTCTTTTGTACTTACAGGACCAACAAGATGAGTGCCACATGTGTAGTAGGATCTGCTTACCCTTCCTGAGCACCCGAGATTACCCCCGGTTTTTGGTGGGATTCGTATTGATCAGTCTTAAGTTTCTATGTTGTGTTTTGTTAACTTGTCAGTTTGTTTCGACTAATCGAGTTTGAATATTTCTTTGGTTCATTTAGCCTTTCTTTCTCAATAATTTCTTATTATCACAAATACTCGTTGCATTTTTAGCAATATCACTTAATGATGCAACCCCACGGTTGACTGGGATATAGAAATACGGTCACTTGGTCTTTTTCCGACTGGCAGTAGGACCCTTGCCAAAGTGTAGCGTCCGTTTGGGTGTGCGGGATATACATGAACGAAGCCACGTCCTGTCAAAATGGGACATTTAATCCGATGCCTCGTAAAAGGAAAGTGCCACGCTCTTTGCACATTAAGAACCCTCGCAACAACTCTTTGAGGGATTCGTAAGTGGACTGTTACAAGGCAAAATTTCTGTCCCTATGCATGCAACATACCTTCACTCTCGAGTGGCAGTCCAAATTCCCCCGACCTTCATGACGTGGTATCTTATTGAAACATTTATTCCTTAACAAAGTTTCATATTCTTATGACCGAATCTTTTCCAGACGTTTTGCTTATATCATGTTTTGCTAATTACTTCATAATTTAACAGAAACAAATATTATGCTGGATAAACACTGAATATATTTTACGCAGACATCGAACATGTACAGCATTTCTTCTTTTTATGTGTATAATGTATCCATTTTCATTTTAAGATATCTATTTCTATTTTCTTTGTTAATTTTAAGACATTTTGTTTTGTAGATCCAACAAAAGGACAACTAAACTATTTACATTTATGTTGGATAATAAACAGTATTGCTTCCAATTTCGTGAGGATGATATTTGATGTTGAATTCTATCCTGCAACACTGCCAGCTACGTTAAGAAGAAATTTCCAAAAAATAAATGATTTAAAACAGCAAAAAATAATAAAAGAACCACAGTATAGGCTGTTAAACTCAGTAGACGGTAAAATTATATTCCTAGCTGCTATAATGTTTGTACATTAGTCTACTGAAAATGACAATTAAACATGTGAAATGCAATTACATTGTACAAGTAACAGTTAATAAGATTGATAATTTGATGATCAAAAATGTATTAATTGAAAAGCAAAAGAAAAATCAAGCAACAAAAAATAATGTGTATGTTCTCATGAATGTTTCCTTTTTTTATTCAGTATCTTCAAAAAAACTTGATTTAACGCTGATGGTATGCTTACTTCGCCATTTGGCAGAATTTCAAATAGGAGAGAATAAACCGCAGTCGCACGACGAATCTGTAGCTGCAGACTTATCTAGATTGAAATATTACAGAAATAAAATTGTACATGCAGCGGGTGGAACCATCACAGATGACAATTTTAACAAATATTTCGCAGCCATTCGTGAGGTTTGTTTCGTTGATTCTTTGTAAAACGCATACCATTTGTGTAGGTTTTGCTGTTTTCTTAGTTTTTTGTAAAGTAAAATATATAAAAATATGCTAAATCTATTAGAATCATAAAAAATGATATAAGATTGCTGTTGCGTGTATTAAACTTACTTTTGTTTAATAAACCGCTGACATATTGATGTATTTTTTTTATCAAGGAATTCCTTAACACTTTCAATGGCTTCCATAATCAAGAAATTGTTCCTGTGACAAAAGGTCATAGTTTACTGTTTTTGTAAATGTGCATGCCTCGTGGTTGTTTGTAAAACTCGTATCGTCTTATTTTTACTCGTACATAAATCAAACCTAAAGTGTGTTCAAATCTTGATTGTATAAATTCATTATTCTTTATATTTATTGCTAGAAAGTGTTGTTAAAGTATTCTAAAATGACGAGTGAATTGAAACTTTTTCTGAAAATTTTGTAGGTCCACGAACATTCCTAAATTATTCCTTAAATATGTGTGGTAAAGTATGGAAGGGTATAAAATACAAAGTAAACCTATTATTTGGTTCAAATTTTAGTAATAATTGAACTCAAATTAACCGGACACGCATTTGTGTTAGCATATTCGTGATTATCAAATGGAGAAAAAAAAAAACGTGTTCCGAATGGACGTTTTATAGCAGCACGAAGATTTTACACAGATCACAGATCCAAAAACGGAGAGATTCTAAGTCTTTATTTGCACTTGCATCCTCACAATTTAATATTATAGGTCACTTTACCTTGTTTTAACTAATAATTTCAGGCATTTTTGTAAATTGCACGGTGTTTTCAGCTGACTTTACTTTCAGGCCTCTGCCGGATGGCCATTAAATTTCCAGCGCCATATTTGAAATTTGACAAATAAATTTTTTTTTTTCAGACAGTAAGTCTAAGTCCTTTTGTGACTTATAAATAATTAAAATAAATGATTCAGACATCTTTATAATCATTTCGAACAGTTAAATATTTTTTTTCTATTCTAGTTAAGTCTAAATTTTTGACCACATAGTCTGTAGTCTAAACCCCCCCCCCCCCCCCCCCCTTTTCTCTTATTTTATTTTCTTATTAAACTTTTTATCGCATATATATAGTTTAATTAAACCTTTGAATACACTGTACTTGTGCTTCAACCAATATCCTGTGTTTGAAAGGTAAAAGAAAACTTAGTACTCTGTTCCCACAAAGATTGATATATGTCTGAGACTAAAGAGTAAATAAGAGGGATATTCAGGATAAAACAGCCCAAAGCCAACCCATAATTATATCTGATAGTGAAGGTAACTACATAAAGAGAGCTATTACAACTGAAGACTTAAAATTTATCACAAAAAAAAAAGGTCAAAAAGTACAGCAAACTATTGATTGGGCAGAAAAAGTATTACCATCTATCTGTCATCAACACAAAAACATCACATTTTATATTTGGCTAGGAACCTGTAATTTAATCAAACTTGCCAAAACTACCAGATACATCTCTCTTGTGAACCAAAACGATTCAAACGTCCGATATGTAAGAAGAAAATTTATTGAGCTAAAGGCTGTTACCACCAAAAAAAATCAGAAATCATCTTCTTAGAAGTACCGCCACACTCCATTCAGTGCTGGAACAGATCACGAGGCCACAAAACCCGGACATTTTCAGTGAAGACGATCACGATCACGCTCTGCACATAAATTACCAAAATTTGATCTAGACATTCGACAAACATCTAAAAAAAAGGCGGTACTGACGAATACTACAACTTTAATCTATACAAAACTGACGGTGTACATCCAAACTCATTATAAGCAAAGCTCTGGATGAGAAGAATAGCGACCAAAATTCTCCACCAATGTTATAGATAGATATCACCAATACAGTATAATAGAATACTATATACATATATATAAACTTTATAACAACCATATTTAATTGCATTCATATATAGAAATAAAACAGCTTTTAAATAACCCTAGTCTATATTGTATAACTAACAAATATAGAGATATATACATACATACATACTCATTAAACCCTGACATTGGAATATATACCAGTTAACTGGAAAATTCTTATTTGAGCAATCTTTTAGTGGGGACGCCCTGCTGAATGCACATTAATCTACATACAACTTCCTCGTTACAAAAATAAATAAATATCTAAAGTGAAAAATGAGTATCCAGACTAGAACATCAGTAAGAACAAGAGCAAACTTCAGCCCTTTACACCAGCTAATTATGAAAACTTTAGTATCAATAAAACCAGGGCCTTGGACAAAAAGCTAGAAGCATGTAAAAGAACAATGGACATACAAATTGAGCAGAAACATCAAAACTACATCCTAGAGCTATCAGCAGCTGCCTATAAAATTATAAAGGGGGAAATAGACATATACTTTGAACAACACTCTACATACAAGCTCTTGCCACAACACCAGCATGATAATCAAGGGCTATGCATTAGAACATCACATTCTGTCAGAAATAGAAGTAGTAACAGACAACTCCATCGTATCAATTTATTCCATACTACATCAAAGGTAGAGGTAAATGGCCAAGGTATGGAACTCTTCCTGACACACATTGAAGATATAAAAAAACGAATGAAATCAAGAGGGAATTAAAGATGTATAACAAACAGATAGAGGAACAGATAAACATAATCAAGAGAAATGAAGCCGATATAGAAATAAGAGCAAAACAGAATGAGTTACTTGTAAAAACAACAGCTCATCAGCCTAAAACCAGTAATAACATACTAGTATCCAAAGGGGCAGAATGTATACAAAATGCAGACGAAGAACTTCTAAGTAACTGGAATAGAGCCATTGAATGATCAAAAGATGAACCAACACCCAGTCAGGATACAAGTGCAGTCAACATGTCTACTATACATAACTACTGTGCCATATGCAATCAGACAGCACAACAAGAAATATCTATAGACTGTATTGCGTGCGGCCAACTGTTTCATTATACATGTGAAAACATTGATCCTGTAAGGATAAGCCAAACTGAAGAAGAAAAGTATTCTTATTACTATCTGTAGGAGCTGCTCTATTATGGACATGTACGTGGTAATATATATCACTGAGAAGCAATAACTCAATTATAGATACAGAACAAACAAGACAAAAAGTAAGTCTAGAAGAACAAGGCTCGACAGAGGAATATAGTGAAATGGCCCATATAGTTAAGAACGTGTCAGACAATAGATCTAAAGACAGTCCAACTAGAAATGACATTACGAAGGAAGAAGCAGGAATTGCAAACACAGAAGAATTAGAAGTGAACAAAATGGCTAGATACAAACAGCCTAACCAAATGTTACAGAATGGCAGAAATGAACAAATAGAAAATGTAGATGAGCCAAAAAAAACATGAAAGCAAAACCGAAAAGGCAATGTAAGTGCAAAAATATAAATGAAACTACTGAACAGCTGTAAGATCAATTAGCACAATGCAGAGCAAGACTAGTCATAATGGAAGATACCAATAGAGACTATAGAAATACAATCAATCTACTTAGGATGCAAACAGAAGAAAGCACCATTGACAAAGGTAATTTAAAATCCTATCAGCCAAATTGTAACTGTAGCAACAACTCACAGGAGCAGAATATAAACAAAGTAGATATGATGCTGAACAACTTCAGGCTAGAAATGGAAAATAGAGACCTAAGAATTAAACATCAAATGGAAATGAATGAATTAAGAAATAAACTACAAATAATGGAACTACAGAAACAACTAAGAATGTTTGCAAAGACCAGAAAGTCATGAATATTATCCTTATAAACAGAATATGGATAATACTAGGAACACAAACAAACATCAATGCACGACCACGTGTTTCTCTGCAGTGCTTAAATTATAAAACGATCCATCATATTAATTTACACGAATTTTTGCTGAGACAAACAATTAGACATGTCTGTTTACTGGTATACTCTATAAGTTTTATAAAATTTGTATTTCTTGTTATTACTTGCGTATATATAAAAAAGAAGATGTAGTATGATTGCCAATGAGACAACTCTCCACAAGAGACCAAATGACACAGAAATTAACAACTATAGGTCACCGTACGGCCTTCAACAATGAGAAAAGCCCATACCGCACAGTCAGCTATAAAAGGCCCCGAAATGACAATGTAAATCAATTCAAACGAAAAAACTAACGGCCTATTTTATGTACAAAAAATGAACGAAAAACAAATATGTAACACATAAACAAACGACAACCACTGAATTACCGGCTCCTAACTTGAGACAGGCACATACATACAGAATGTGGCGGGGTTACACATGTTAGCGGGACCCCAACCCTCCCCCTTACCTGGGACAGTGGTGTAAAAGTACAACATACGAACGAACTATAAAAATCAGTTGAAAGAGGCTTAACTCATCAGATGGATAAAAATACAAATACTACAATTCAAGTGGACGTTGCCGATTACTTGTTCATCCAAACAACAAAAAGACACTAAGTACAGATCTGAGAGTACTCGCAGTTACTGACAGCTAGTTCAAAGCCACTAACAACTAATAAAAAAAAAACATGCATCTAAGACTAAATTACCAATCCGTACACATCCAACATCCAATGGATTTAGTGTAAAGACGTCATAAACAGTCAGAGAAAAACATGACCTTGTGCAATGCCAAGATACAGGTATCGACAGGTGGTAGATCCGTGAATGTGTATATGTATATAATAATAATATTTAGTTTGCTTTTAATTTACTGATAACAAAATCAATATTAGTACCAATAAAAACAATATTTAATGATCTAATTACAGTGTTGAATTGGTAACCTTTTAAAATAAGTTTATTTAAAGGATCGATAAGTTTACCAGGATCGTTTCTAAATATTCGGGTACGGTAGACAATATTGCCGTAAAAATGAGGATGTGCAATCCCATTTGAAATAAGTTTTCTACAGGTACAATGCGTGGAAATATAATGAAGATAACATTGATTTTCACCATAAAAAAATGGAATACATATCCTTTAAGGATCACATAATACTTTTGAAACGATGGATGGTAACGTATAGTCACTCATATGATAAGCTACCAAAACAATTAATAATGTGCATATTCATGGCCGGACACGCAATTGTGTCAGCTTTGGTTTTGATGGAAAAATGTAAACATTGGAAAACGCCATTTTGACACAGGAATAATATACTTTGCCTATACTAACATTGAGAAACTGCATGATTCAAATTCCAGAAATGCTGTAAAAAATAAAACTCAACCTCAACCGAGTTGATCACCATGAAAACCAATATTATTGTAAACAAGTATATTTTTTTTATAAACCTAATCATATAAATAGTACTGTTTTAAAAATTGACATCCATCAATTTTTGTTTAAACCATTTTACTTTTTTTTTGGAGGCTTTGTATGTTAAAAACAATACTGTTTCAGAATTTTGTGATTTTTTAAAAGCTTTTTGTAGAGCCTTCGACTTTTGTCGAAAAAGCGAGACATAGCGATCCTACATTCCGTCGCAGCGTCGTCCTCGTCGTCGTTGTTGTCGTCGTCGGCGGCGTCCACAAATATTCACTCTGTGGTTTAAGTTTTTGAAATTTTAATAACTTTCTTAAACTATCCTGGATTTGTACCAAACTTGGACAGAAGCTTGTTTATGATCATAAGATAATATTCAAAAGTAAATTTTGTAATAATAAAATTCCATTTTTTCCGTATTTTACTTATAAATGGACTTAGTTTTTCTGCCAGGAAACATTACTTTCACTCTGTGGTTAAAGTTTTTGAAATTTTAATAACTTTCTTAAACTATCCTGGATTTCTTCCAAACTTGTAAAGAAATTGTTTATGATCATAAGATAGTATGCAGAAGTAAATGTTGTAAAAAAAAATTCCATTTTTTCCGCATTTTACTTATACATGGACTTAGTTTTTCTGCCAGTTATCATTACATTCACTCTGTGGTTTTGTTTTAACAACTTTCTTAAACTATCCTGGATTTGTACCAAACTTGGACAGAAGGTTGTTTATGATTAAAAGCTAGTATCTAGAAGGAAATTTTTTCTGCATTTTACTTATAAATGGACTTAGTTTTTCTTCCAGTTAACGTTACATACAGTCTGCAGTTTAAGTTTTTAAAACATTTATTAGATTCATAAACTATGCTGGATTTTTACCAAACTTGGACAGAAGCTACTTACAATCAAAAGATAGTATAGAGAGGAATACTTTTATTAATTGTTTTCCTCATTTTTGTTGAGCCTGCGATTAACAGCAAAAGTAGGCGAGACACTATGTTCCTTGGAACCATTACGAATTTTTCATATACGAACGGATGCAGTATAGAACGATCATAATGTAGCAACCAGTATATTGCTTTTCATTTGAAAAAGTGCTACACGTATGTAAATATTTAACACGAAATAAAAACATATTTTTGTAACCCATCGTTGTAACAAGACTGTAAAACTCTTTCGCAATATGAATTAATGCTCAGCAGTTGGAAAACGTCATTCATACTACACTATACATTGTACGGAAGTTACAATAGTATAACTTAAAATGAAATATTTAATACGTTTATCATGTTTTTATTATTCCAAAACAGTTACTTTAATTTTGTAGCCGTTAGCAAGAATAGGCAATATACGTCTATGTGAAGTGGATGTTTACAAGACTAAAAAACTAGATAGAATATCGCAAGATGAGGCTGATAATGGTAAACTATTTGTTAATATTTTACAGCAAATTTAAATTAGATATTAAAAGAGTATGAGTGCATTGTATTTAAAACTTAACAGGTTTATATTCTGTTCGCTCTTAAAAAAAATAGAACGGCGAAATAGAAAGTAAAATAACAAAAATACCAAACTCCAAGGAAAATTCAAAACGGAAAGTCCTTTATCAAATGGCAAGATCAAAAGTTCCAACACATAAAAACAAATGGAAAACAAATGCCATATTCCTGACTTGGAACAGGCATTTTCTTATGTAGTTAAACCTGGTTTTATAGCTAGCTAAACCACTCACTTGTATGACAGTCATCGAATTCCATTATATTGACAACAATGTGTGAGCAAAACAAACAGACATAATAGGTAAAAATGTAAAAAAATGGGGTACAGCAGTCAACATTGTGTTATAATCTTAATCACTATAAAACAAATAAACTCACGGAACAAAACACTATTTCAACAAAGAAAAACAAAATGGCATATAGACACTCTATAGACAACTTAAGCAAAAAGATGACCGATATGATGTGATGGCGGCTAAACGTTAAGTGAGGATTAATACTAAATTATTATAATGAGATTTGAACACGTTGAATATACTATGCTTGATAATTGACCGATCTCCTGATTTTTGTATGTGCTTGCTCATTCGAAGCACACACGAAAATAGATAAGCTCATCATAGATCACCATACTCATGCACAATAATTATGAATCCATAATGACTTTTGCGGCTTCTTGAGATAAGTAGTTCATACCAATTTTATAATTGATCATCAGAACTTTCGTACAAGAAACAAGTACATGTACGCTTCCACAAAATCAGTAAAGCAGTTAGTCATTAGAAGACTGACGAATGTACAGCACCTATTGAGCACTTTATATTCAGTTAAGGTTACTATAAAACAGTTTGAGGACTATTCCAATAAAATATATCTCATACTAAAATAGGAATGCGGTATTTTGGGTATTCTTCCTTCACGTTGATCGATTAGATCCAAATGAATTGTCATCTTTGTACTATAAGAACAGATATAATTCATTACATTTATATAGATATTACCCCAGGTTTCACTCATTATGACATTATTCCGTTTAATTAATAATTGGTCTTACAAATTTTAGCTGTTTCGTTCGGTGCTATGTGACGTAGGTGCGGTATAGGTTTTGCTGACTGTTGAAGACCATACGATCCCTAATTGTGGCTAAGTTTAACGTCATTTGGCTTGTGCTTGAATGTTGTGTGTCTCATTGGTTATCATACCAAATCTTCTCATTTTTATATGATATATTATAAACGTCTATTCATGCGATGCATTGATGTTAAATGCAATTGATTTTTACGTATCAATGATGTATTTTATATACTCATGCTAAACAGTGTCTTATCAGAAAACGTTTTAAGTAGTGTATTTTAAGTAAAACACGCTTCATTTCGTATCTTTTGCCGCAGGAGAGAAAAAAATGCCAGTTTTATTTTTTTTCTATGATCCATTTAAAACTTCTGAATAACTTTGCAAATTAACAAAACATGTTCGAAATAACTTACAGTAAAATTATTATTATTTTGTTTTAAATATCTCATAAATTCTGTTAAATACACTCATAAAAATAAGCAATATGAAAATTATAAAAAAAAAAGTAAAATATAAAAAATACCGAACTCCAAGGAAAATCAAAGCGGAGAGTCCCTTATCAAATGCCAAATCAACAGATCAAACGAATGGAAAAAAACTGTCTCATTCCTGATTTGGAACAGGCATTTCCTTATGTAGAAAATGGTGGATTAAACCTGGTTTTATAGCTAGCTAAACCTCTCACATGTATGACAGTCGCATAAAATTCCATTATATTGACAACAATGTGTGAACAAAACAAACAAACATAATCATGATAATAGGACAAAATGTCAAAAATAGAGGTACCGCAGTCAACATTGTGATATAATCTTAATCCCAATAAAAACAAATGGACTCATGGGTTATTAATTCTGCTTAAAAACTTAAATGAGGGTGCCCTTTTTGCAAATTACAATAAACTTATTTCTAAAAAGATTACAGTCCATCCAGTGCTGGTTTTGTACATGAATTTTAGATTTACACTTTGGTATGCACTAATATTGACGGTACGATTTTTTTATTGCACTAGATACTTATTTCGACTGACTCATAGTGATGCTCTAGGTAAAAAAATAAGAAAATCCAAAACTAAACGAAGATAGAGAACAAATCGTTTAAAATAACAAAATTTGTTTTTTGCAGTTTTTTTTAAATTGAAAATACAAGGCTGGATTGCAAGGGAAAATACACTGGTAGAATCGAATACGATGGTTCTGGTTGAAGAAAAAATATTGCAGAAATCAAGTAAAGTTGTGATAATCAAAGGTCAGTCAGGCAGTGGAAAATCTGTTTCACTTCATCATGTTGCAACACAGCTTCAACATGAAAACGAATTTCAAATTATTCCTGCCGATTTACCTGATCAGATTAAAAAATACCACAATCCAAATCGAAAACAAATTTTCGTGTTCGATGATGTATGTGGTAAATATTGCACCAATTCAAGTATTGTAAACCAGTGGAGGAATTTATCAGAAGATATTGAAAAAATGTTGAAAGAAAATACTCATATTTTGATGGCATGTAATTCTAATATATTAGAAGATATTAAGGATATAAGGAGTTTTCAAATCGATGATACTGAAGATAACGTTTTTGACCTTCAAAGTAAAGGAACATGTTCACTCGATTATACACAGCGAAAGGAAATAGCAGATATCTATCTCGGACAGGATAGCTATGACAATGAAATTCTAACAACCGAAACAGAGTATTTCCCATTGTTATGCCAAATGTTTGCTACGCAAAACACGGGAAACATAAGACATTTTTTTGAAATGAATTTTTGTGACCTGCTATCATTAAAAACGTGCAATGATAAAACAACATATGCCGTACTTTGTCTATTTGTTATCACAAACAACCTAGTTTCAGAAGCTAATACAACTTCAGATACTTTAAAAGACATAACAAAAGAATTAAAAATTAGGCCACCTTTAAGTTGGGATATAGCACAAACCCTACTGGATGATATGTGCAATTCTTATGTTAGTAAATTGAGGTGTCAATACCGAATAATTAATGATAAAATATTTAATCTTCTTATAGCATCATTTGGTAGAGATATGTTTTTATTTATTTTAAAACATGGTTGTAGTCAATTTATTCGAGACCGATTTCAATTGCAGTCTACTAGCCAAGGAGATGATGAATGTAGCATTGACGTTATGCCTGAAAATGAACCGTTGTATTTTGAACGTTTATTAAGAGACATATCCAACGGGTACGTCACTGATGTATTTAAAAACAAGCAAATCGCTAATGAAGTATTTAGAAAAAACTTAATAAGTCATATCAAGAAAAGTCCAAGTGCAATTGATGTTATTCTGTCATTGTCAGAAAAGAAAGAATCCCCACTTTTAACTGCATCGAAACAAGGATATCTTGATTTAGTTGAATATTTTATTGAAATAGGGATGAACGTCGATGTCAGTGATAGTGAAGGCAGAACCCCGCTGTATCTAGCTTCTGCTGAGGGGTTTAAAGATATTGTGAAAAATTTGTTAAACAACAACAGTAATTGCAGCTTATATAAAAAAAATTCACCTTTATATATTGCAATAAAAAATGATCACATGGCCATTGCCGAGGAACTTCTTAAAAAGAACGCTGATCCCAACGACCGTACCGTTCGTGAAATAAAACTTGACCTCATTCTTCAATTATACGAAGATGAAAGTTCTTTAAGTCTTGTTGCATCATCAATTACTAACCGTACACCTATTTTTATTGCTTCATTAAAAGGACGAAAACAATGTGTCGAACTTTTACTAAAATATGGTGCAGATCCTAATATGTGTGCTTACTATAACGTATCGCCACTTTATGCAGCTGCAGAAGAAGGACATTTAGAAGTAGTCAATCTGTTACTTGAAAACGACGCAAATGTAAACGAGGAAGCTGATAACAAGAAAACTCCCCTTCATGTTGCTTCAGAAAAAGGGCACTATCATATTGTTAAACGTTTGATCGAAGCTGGAGCTTTAATTGACGCTTCAGATGATAATGGAGCGACACCTCTTTTGGCAGCAATTAAGAATAAGAAAGAAAGTGTTATACAACTCTTAGTAGAAAATAAAGCAGATCCTAATAAATTAGATAAACAAGGCAATTTTCCATTAAGAGCGTCTGTTTCTCAACCTGAAATCTCTAAATTACTTTTGGACAACAATGCAGACCCTAACTTAATGAACGACAAAAAAGAATGCGCTCTTTTATTTGCATCTGAAAAAGGAAATATAGACACTGTAAAACTATTACTAGATCAAAATGCTGATCCTAACATAAAAACACTTGTAAAAGGCTCTTCGCTATTTGCAGCCGTAGAACGGGATTCAACGCAGATTGTACATGCTTTGTTAAGCTGCGGTGCAGACCCTGATGATCGAAATCAAAGTAATCAATCCGTTTTATCTGTTGCATCTGAATATTGCAATGAAAATATTATTAAAATGATAAAGAATGCTCGTGAAGGAATATTACCAAAATGTAATCAAATATCTGATCCTTTGAATTCAAGCAGCAATCCCGAACTAACAGTTATACAAGAAGATGAAGAAGTCAAGAAACCAATATTGAAAGACGGAAATATTTACAGAAATAAGTTGAATGAAGTTACGAAGATTGCACAAAAGGACACAGACGCTTCTTTAAAGCGTGGACTGCCAATATTCAGCGAACAAACACTTTTTGTCAAAGGAAATAAGATTAACCTCAGTTCAAAAACACTCAAAAAGCCTGTAGCTTCAAAATCAAGAAAACTGCAAAATTTTAAGAATGTAGTACCTCCTCGACCAAAAGCAAAAGTAAAACATTTTCGACCATAAACATTATTAACGTATTCGTCATTTTTATTTAGCATGATGCCCCTTAGCTTTTCATATGTGTAGTAGTTCAACATTTTGGCAATAACATTAGATTCTAGTGAAATGGTTTTGAAATTTTGTTTGTAAATTAAATTGTTTTAACATATATATTTAGTTACTTGCATTACATTTTAAGAAGTCAGTAGATCATCAGATATAGTGAACATCTGAAGTTACTATCAATTGAGGCTGAAGTCTGTCTATAAAATTCAAACATTCATAAAAGGCCTGCAAAATTTTGGTAACATCGGAAAGGGCTAGAAAAAAGCAGGGACATATCGTGGGTGTGTGTTTTGCCGTATGGGTATGCAGCTGTCCCCAAAGAGGAGGTTACCATTAGACCTGATAGAACAATTTACAAGAAATCAAACAACTGGATTCCTGATCCTACGTAAATCTTTTAAAGCTAGAAAGACACGCAAGACAGCCAGAGATAAACATAATACATAAAGTATTTAAAAGGATTAACCTTTGCTTTATATAGATCTAATCGGTTCAATACATTGGAAATAGTTAAGATATGTTTCCGAAGTCTCATTTATTGGAGAAAATGAATAAAAAGACGGCATACAACACAAGGTATTTTTGAGGGCAGCAAAAATGTCCCCGCGGTTTGTTTCGTGTGCACCGATACGGAAGCAATACCTGCTCGAGCAAACAGGATTCTGACATGTCATCATTCGACAAGACATTGTGAAAGAAGAACGAGATTTTCTACGACAATAGGAACATATCCCGTTAGTCTTCTTTGATACAGACACTCTACTCTTTTAATATTAAAATAAGTATATGTGTATGGTTGCCAATCAAATTACAACTCATTCAAGGCTAAATGAAAAATATATGAACAATTGTAGATTATCGTTTTGGTATAGCATGTATAGCCGACCAATATAATATACTCAGTTACCAAAGAACAGTATATAATGAAAATTATGACTTAAACTTCATTAATAAACAATAAACAAACTGACTTCACACAGGAACCTCTTAGTAGAAAGAAAAGAAGTTAGCAGTATCCCTTAACTTCACTTTCCGCCATAAAGATGATGTTTTCTTACTAAATTATTCATAATTTGGTGACTATGTTGATCGCTTCTATCCCATCGAACTTGAGATAAAGGATACAACAGATACAGTTTAGTCTGCTTCATATCTTGACTTGCATCTAGAAATTGACAATGAGGGTCGGTTGAAAACAAAATTATACGACAACAGAGCTTCAGCTTCCAAATTGTGAACTTTCCATTTCTATGTACCAACATTCCTGCAGCTCCTGCATACGTTACATTCATCTCCCAGTTGATACGATATTCTAGGGCTTGTATTTCCTATCATGATTTCCTTAAAAAAGGGTTGCTGCGCTCACAACATGCACAAGGAAGCTATTAATCAAAGAGTTCCAATTGGTGAAGTCGAAACCATCCCTTCGTTAATTGTATGGACGTCATCATAAGTTAGTAGACTGTTATTAAATTTCTTTTTCACAGATAACGATGGATATGTCAAACTGTGGTAACTACAATTCCATCCCCTTTACCCCGAATGTGACTTACCGAATTAGACTTATCCCCGGGTTTGTAACACGACGGATGCCATTTGTGGGGCAGGATCTACTTACGCTTCCGGAGCACCTGAGATTTCCACTAGTTTTGGAGAGGTTCGTTTTGCTCAATCTTTTGTTTTCTATGTTGTGTTTTGTGTACTGTTGTTTGTCTGTTGGTCTATTTCTAGCCATGGCGTTGGCCTTCTATTTTCGACTTATGAGTTTGAATGTGCCTTTGGTATCTTTGGTATCCTTTGCCTCTCTTTTAAGGGTTATTTAATTTTGACAATTTTCCTATGAGCCTCCAAGAGCAATTACAATTTGGAAAGAACCTAGCAACCATTACTTAAGGAAACGTTCCTACATGAACTTTGATATGGAACAATTGAATTTCAAAAGGATTTAAATCCAATTTCATGCAAATTCAGTAAACGACTCTGAGACCCACGTTTTATTTTAGCTCACCTGAATCTTAGGATAGAGTGGGGTATTTTTATCACTTGGCGTCCGTCGTTGTCCGCAAATTTTTACAAAAATCTTCTCTGAAACTATTGAGCCAAAGGAAACCAAACTTTGCCACAATCAATACTGATTTGTTTTGTTTAAAAATATGTTCGATGGTACAGCTTACCAACCAACATTGCCGACATTGCTATAAATAGACCAAACATGTACAGTAAAGATAAAGGAAGGACAGAAATATTCCAAATAAACTCATCATAATACCAGGATAACAATTGTGTAGGCCAGACGCGCGTTTCGTAAAAGAAAAATCCCAGTTGATACGATATTCTAGGGCTTGTATTTCCTATCATGATTTCCTTAAAAAAGGGTTACTGCACTCACAACATGCACAGTGAAGCTATTAATTAAAGAGTTCCAATTGGTGAAGTCGAAATCATCCCTTCGATAATTTTACGGACGCCATCACGAATTAGTAGACTGTTATGAAATTTCTTTTTCACAGATAACGATGGATATGTTCAAACTGTGGTAACTACAATTCCATCCCCTTTTCCCCGAATGTGACTAACCGAATTAGACTTATCCCCGGGTTTGCAACACTACGGATGCCATTTGTGTAGCAGGATCTACTTACGTACCGGAGCACCGGAAATCACCACTAGTTTTGGAGAGGTTCGTTTTGCTCAATCTTTTGTTTTCTATGTTGTGTTTTGTGTACTGTTGTTTGTCTGTTGGTCTATTTCTAGCCATGGCGTTGGCATTCTATTTTCGACTTATGAGTTTGAATGTCCCTGTGGTATCCTTCGCCTCTCTTTTAAGGGTTATTCAATTTTGACAATTTTCCTATGAGCCTCCAAGAGCAATTACAATTTGGAAAGAACCTAGGAATCATTACTTAAGGAAACGTTCCTACATAATCTTTAATATGGAACAGTTTAATTTCAAAGGGATTTAATTCCAATTTCATGCAAATTCAGAAAACAACTCTGAGACCCATGTTTTATTTTAGCTCACCTGACTCTAAGGATAAAGTGAGGTATTTTTATCACATGGCGTCCGTCGTTGTCCGTAAACTTTTACAAAAATCTTCTCTGAAAATATTGAGCCAACGGAAACTAAACTTTGCCACAATCAATACTGATTTGTTTTGTTTGAAAAAATGTTCGATGGTACAGCTTACCAACCAACATGGCCGACATTGCTATAAATAGACCAAACATGTACAGTAAAGATAAAGGAAGGACAGAAATATTCAAAATAACTTATCATAATACCAGGATTACAATTGTGTACGCCAGACGCGCGTTTCGTAAAAGAAAAATCCCAGTTGATACGATATTCTAGGGCTTGTATTTCCTATCATGATTTCCTTAAAAAAGTGTTGCTGCGCTCACAACATGCACAGGGAAGCTATTAATCAAAGAGTTCTAACTGGTGAAGTCGAAATCATCCCTTCGATAATTTTACGGACGCCATCACGAGTTAGTAGACTGTTATGAAATTTCATTTTCACAGATAACGATGGATATGTTCAAACTGTGGTAACTACAATTCCATCACTTTTTCCCCGAATGTGACTAACCGAATTAGATTTATCCCCGGGTTTGCAACACGACGGATGCCATTTGTGGAGCAAGATCTACTTACGCTTCCGGAGCACTTGAGATCACCACTAGTTTTGGAGAGGTTCGTTTTGCTCAATCTTTTGTTTTCTATGTTGTGTTTTGTGTACTGTTGTTTGTCTGTTGGTCTATTTCTAGCCATGGCGTTGGCCTTCTATTTTCGACTTATGAGTTTGAATGTCCCTTTGGTATCCTTCGCCTATCTTTGAAGGGTTATTCAATGTTGACAATTTTCCTATGAGCCTCCAAGAGTAATTACAATTTGGAAAGAACCTAGCAACCATTACTTAAGGAAACGTTCCTACATAAACTTTAATATGGAACAATAGTCGTTTTTCATATTAAAATTACGTAAGCGATTTTTTAAACAACGCCAGCGACTGCATCATGTGACACCCGACATACGAAAAAGTTTTTGAGCGGCTACTTTCGAAAATTAATTTTCACAGATGGTAAAAAGGTGTACCTGGGGGAAATGTTATAGTGACAATCGGTACAAAGATAGGGATTATATGCAGAATGTTTCATTTTGGCCCATTCCCAAACCTGCAACCAGACTTTCTGAGACAAAATTGTGGGTAAAAGCTTGCGGAAGGAAGGACTTCACCATTAAAGACGTCAACAAACACTCATATGTGTGCAGTAAACATTTTGTAGAAGGAAGACCAACATCAAGCTAACCATATCATGTATCTGCCTTTTCGACAAGTCCTATCAGTACTGTAAAACCATGCAGGAAACTCCCAACCAGAAGAGAACTTTTCACAAACAGCACCCCGAAATCCAAATCCGTGCCAAGAGCTACTGTCCCAGCACCTGTACCTCTTTCTTTTCCATTGCTACCCATACCAACAAAGTTCGTAGAAGTATCTAGCAAGAAGACATCTCCTTCACTACATACCAGTGATGTGCAGTTACAATCTATAGAAGCTGAACACTTTGAAGTATCTGATAGTACGTAACTATTATTTATATGCAATATTCTCCATACTCCTTTTTCTTCAATTTGAGCTGTTCTGAGTGAATATGTTGTAATGCTTGCATAATTTAGTAGCAAAATCTGTTAATCATCCTAAATGTAGACACACATGGTACGATAAACATTAAAATTTAAAGATTTCATTACCGTACCGCAGGCACTGGTCTACCCAGCTTGTCTGGCAAAACAGCCGTTGGACGTCACAGTAATCTCGGACTAAGGCAGTGGACATTCTATTAATAATGATAAAATATGGGCAATGGTCGGAAAAAAGTGGCTATGTATATCTTTTTTAAATACATTGCCACTATATTCATCCCATTGCCCATATTTTATTATTATTGATAGAACTTTTAGTGCTTGTGACGTATTGTACATGTTGATTTTTAGTGTCGTTCTTTATGTATTCCTGATATATATACTAATAAATTTCTGATATCCATTCGACAACTTTCTAGTGGAGACCAAATAGTACACTAGATATACACAACTATG